ATGGTGGGCCAATGCCATTTTCAGTTTACGGTGCTCCCTTTTGGTTTATGTACGGCACCTAGGGTATTCACGAAATGCATAGCAGTGGTTGCTGCATATTTCCGCAAACAAGGGGTGCATGTGTTTCCGTACCTTGACGACTGGCTGATCCGAGGTCGCTCGTACGGGCAGGTAAAAACTCACGTGGCACTCACAAGAACCCTTTTCCTAAGGTTAGGACTCCTGATAAATATCGAGACGTCATCCCTGACTCCCTCGCAACAGATAGAATTTGTGGGAGCCCTCCTCGATTTGAGGGTGGCAAGGGTGTTCCTGCCCAAGAGCAGGTTCCTCTCCTTAGTGGAGCTGATCTCGGGGCTAACTCGGTCACCTATAATGACCCCTCGGGTCTGCTCCAGGCTTCTAGGCCATATGGCGGCATGTACGTACATGGTCCGCCATGCCAGGTTGCGGATTAGACTCATGCAGGCGTGGTTGGCGAAGGCCTTCAGCCAGTCCAGGGGTCTTTGGGACTCGATAATTACGGTGCCCAAAGTAATTCTGGACTCCCTCCTATGGTGGACCCAGGAACCTGTGGTACGCAGTGGGGTCTCTTTCAATACTCTCCCTGACGCTGGTCACTGATGTGTCCGACTTGGGCTGGGGAGCGCACCTGGGGCGACACAGAACTCAAGGCCTTTGGTCCCCCTCCGAGCGAACCCTACACATAAACGTCCGGGAATTGCAGGCGGTGAGGCGAGCCTGCAAAGCCTTCCTGCCAAGGCTCGCCCACCGCTCGATCCTGGTTCATATGGACAACACAGCGGCGGGGTTTTTTCCCAAAAAGCGTTCACCTCCCCTTTGCAAAGAGGCCCTGCAAATTTGGCATTTCTGTGTCACACATGGCATCACACCTCAAGCGGAATACCTCCTGGGGTGCAAAAACCTGCTAGCGGACACGCTGAGCAGATCCTTTGGAGCCCACAAGTGGACCCTCAAGGACTCTGCTCTCCGCCAGGTTTTCCACAGGTGGGTTATCCCCGCCTAGACCTGTTCACCTTGGCAAGCAGTGCCAAGTACAGGTACTACTGTTCCCTGCTGGGACTGGGGAAATATTCCCTGGGGGATGCCCTGACGACCGTGTGGCCAGAGGGCATCCTCTATGCCTTTCCCCCGTTTCCCCTAATTTCCAGGGTATTGACCAGGGTGAGGACATTTCAGTCCTCGATCATTCTCATAGCCCCCAGGTGGCCCAGACAGTTCTGGTTCCCCATCCTGGTGGACATGCTTGTCCAGGACCCAATAGCACTCCCTCCAGTCCGGGATCTGCTAACTCAACCCTGGGGTGAGGGGATCATGGTTCACCCAGATCTCCGGTCTCTCCATCTAACGGCATGGTTTATCCGTGGTTGAACCAACCTGAAAGGGAAT